CAATTCCACAATCGATCCATGTCAGGGTGAAAGCTCAGCTCCGGCCAAAGGGTTCTCATTCAATTGCACTCACTCACATTCACACGTCCACAGCGGCTGCTTTTCTCCCCGTTTCTGTGAAATGTAGGTTTTTTAATGATGAAAAATGACATTGTGAAACCAAAGACTCCATGTTTACATAAAGTCGAGAAGAATATTTAAATATTCTGGGGTGTTTTTGTTTTTACTTTGTTTTAGTATGTATTTAATACATTTTTTTGTATTAATTAAATATTCTGGGGTGTTTTTGTTTTTGCTTTGTTTTAATACGTTTTTTTGTATAATCGAGTTTGTGAAATTATTAATTTCAACATTGACCTAGGAGTACGCCATCACCTGGAGAGTGGGCATAGCTGCACGACTTTTAATGAAATAAAATAATAAATGAAAATCAAGTGAAGTAGGTTAAGGGCGGCCATCTTTTTATTACGATGTTTTGTACTGTTGTTGTTATTCTAGGACCTCTGAGGAGAGAAAGAGCTAAAAAAAAAAAAAAAGTTAACCGCGACAATGGTTTAACTGATGTTGTTGACTTCAAATTCAGTTTATTGTTGTTTATTTGATGTACTTTTAGTTAATTGCTGATTTGTGTGTTTGATCAACAATTAAGCCTATAAGCTCTGTCACATATACAGTAGATGTTGTCAGTACATTGAGTCTGTCACTTAAATGCAGTGCACACCTGTGAACGTGCTGTCCACGGAGGTGCCTGTTAAAATGTAATGACTTCTTTATATAACCTTACTTTAAATCAATTGTTAACATAATAATAATAGTAATAATAATGACTATTTATGGAGTTTTCTGAGGAGGATTTTGAGGACAAAGTTTCACGGTGACCTCTCTAATAACTTCTGGAATACTTCTATCCTCGGCCCAAAATTGAAGTCATTCTTCTTTATGGATTTATTATATTCAATAACCGTCTGGACGTAGAGGGAGGAGGAGACAATCAATGATTGACTGTCTGGAATATTCTGGACTCACACCCCAATTTTGGTGTTAATACGTATCGACACTTTTCCTCGCTTTTAGTTTGGTTAACTCAGAGGTGAAAAAAAAAGTTGGATTATTTGACCTGTTTTTGGGTCTGTTCCTCCAGGGTTTGGGTGGTTTCTAAGGTGAAGCCCAACTTTTTGTCCATGACACCTGGACCTTTGTTATATTAATATTTCAGCTGTTCTACTGGAGTAAAGACCAGAGCAGGAGAGTGGTGGAACATGTCTCCAAGAGAAGTTCCTACAGGTGACTCCTCACGGTCAGAAAAAGATGTCGCTTTTAGACTAAAAACATGAGACAGAGACATTTGGTCACTGAGGTCAAAGACCAAGGTGGCAAATTCTTATTTAATATATATATATGTATATGTTATATGTTATATATATATGTTATCCAGTGTTATGCTAAATATATATGTAAATATATGTACATATATACATATATATTTTGCATAACACTAGGCAAGAATATTTTTATATTTATATAAATATATATATTTACACATAAATACATACATACATATATGTATGAATTTACTAATATATGTAAATATATAAAAAACTCTTGTGTTGGTTTATATATATATATTTATTTACTCATATACAGTATCTATATATATATATATATTTACTCATATACAGTATGTAAATATATCATGGAAACTCTTGTGTGTGTTTATATTTATATATATATGCAGACTAGGGTCTCTGTCATATATTCACAAGTATGTGTAAATATATTTTCATACCATTGTTCTTACATAAAATTCTCACTCAATTCTTGGCATAAAAATTATATATATATGTATATATAATGTACAGTATACTATACATATATACTGGCTTTCACTATATACTTCACATTTTACCCTGTGCACAGCATTTCTATACTTTCTAAATAGTATTTGTCTGTTATTTATGGCTCAAGTACAGCTGCTGTACTTGTAACACAGAAACCTTGAATTTAACACAATGACAAACTCCTGTTACTTACAGAAAATCCTAAAGTCAAAGTCATACAAAATGTCTTACAAAGTTATTCATTTCTAACCTTGGCACAAATTTTGATTCCGTAATAGTGGAGCCATGTGAGGAACGTAAGGTGTTAATGTGTTTCCTGTGACCTCACTCCATTCATCCGTTCACGTGTACTTTCCGTACGTTTCTCATCACGGTGAACCACATCCAGGCACCGAAGGCTGCACAGAACTGCTGGTCTCCTCGTGACCACACAGAGGCTGTCAGTCACCACAGATCTGTCCTTGACTTACCAACGGATTGACAACCAAACGATGTAAGCTCAGGTCTTACAGCTGGGCTACAAGAGTCCGCTGTAGTCACCCTGGTCAGACAGAATAAAGTTCAGGAAAATCAACTCACAGTTTAAAAAAGTCAGTGATCTGCAGAGACATCATGGCAGATGATTTGGTCCAAACAGGGAAATCTAAGCCCAGCTGTACAGTGTCGCTCCTCTGTATGGTTTACACATCATTTCACAAAGAGGGAAAATGCAGAACCAAACAAGTTCTAGTCAGGTGGTTCCTTAACACAGTGTTTCCCAAACTTTTTTTCTGGGGACTAAAAGTCACAAACTTTTGCGAACCAAGTCAGTAGACATTTTTCGTAAACTCCTGGGAAACATGATGCAAGATGACCCAAAAAACAAATCTCTCGTGACCCTCAGGTGGGTCGCGACCCAGTCTTTGAGAAACAATGCCTTAACAGACTCAGTGATCTTATCTGCAAGGCCAGTAAAGTTGTCGGTCCAAGTTCACGGAAATCAAACACACTTGTACACACTTGGTATTGAATTGTAAAAAATATACTATCAAGACCACATTCACAGTATTTTTGTTTTCCCACCACACTTCCACGTACCACGTGGGCCTCTTACTGCCATTTGAACACCTACTGAAGTGTCTCATTTCCACTCGTTGTACGTGTGAAAACAGCTCAGCCTCTAAGAAGAAAGAAGGTATCTTTATGTCAGAGTTCAGACGACGAGCCTCTCTGTTTCCCTCCTCTCCCCCCAGTCCTGTTGTTTGAGTCTGCAGGTAAACCGAGCTCATGCTTTCACTGATAATACATTACACATGAAGCCATGTTTTGTCAGGTGCTGACAGTGATGTAAAGCACCGGCCGTGCTACGGTGAGATAACCCTGCCACAGCTGCGAAAACCCAGAGAAAGGAGACTACATATCTGCACATCGTCTGCCAAAGGAGACGAGAAGTATTTTCCCCCAGTTTTATCTTTTTTTTCTTTTCTCCTTCGTCTTTGGACGGCTTACAGCACAGTAACACCAACATTCATTTCCACAGGTTTGGGATTTGGGATCAAGAGCAACTAAGACACTGCAAAAATAAGTCCAGCTCCGTCTGTGAGCAGAGGAAATATTCGTTTCAATTTAAAGGATTTACTGCAAAGGTATTAAACTTGTTTCACATCGTTACCTAAAGTATATACAGTTGTAGTGAACGTCCGTGTGTGTGTGTGTGTGTGTGTGTGTGTGTTTCTATGCAGACTAAAGCCGAGGAATCCAATCCACTGCATCACATGCTTTATGTCCTTTATCTCTTTATTTTTATTTTTTTATTTTTTTATTGCCCTGTGTTGTGTGTTTTCTGCTGCGGGTCACTTTTCCCTCATGGACGATAAAGTCATGAACCTTGAAACCCGTTTTGTTGCCGTGTTATTGGGGCACGTAGGCAGATATTTGATTATGTGGTAGACGCTCTGCTTTCATGTCCTCTTTTAAAAAATAGCTCTAATTTCAGCAGTAACTGCAACAGCGATTCTGTGCGTGACATTAGAATAACAAACACAGAGACCACTCTGCAGGTGTAGCCTGTGGTACACGGACCAGTGCATCGTGGGTTTTTAATATTTTAAATTTGTGTTTTGCGTGATAAAATAAGCATTTTCTAAAAAGAGAAAAAAAACAAGTGGCGCTTTGGCCCAGAGGGATGTCTCTGTCATTGGTGTGGAACCTCCTGGGCAGGATCGAATCCTGGTTAGGGCGGTTGGTACCTTCCAGTGGAGTCACCATCCGCAGGAAGGTTTGGTACGGTGCAATGTGATTTGGGTGGCGACTGCTGCCCAGTAATGGATAAGCGAATGAAAATGGATGGATGGATGGGTGAAAACAGTAAAAAAAAGATCTTAAAAAATAAATAAATAAATAACCTGTACGTACAAGTAATTGGGATTTGTGAAAGTTTCGTTAATTTTTCTTGCCATGTTTCGCACCCTACGATGCCTCTTTAAGGGTTAATATTTACGTAAATAATAAAACAACTATCTCTACTTCGCAGTTTTTCGTCTATCGCGGGCGATCTTGGAACGTAACCCGCGCGATAGACGAGTCGCTGTAACTGTACTTCCTGCCACCTGAATGAAAACACAAATGTGTCCAGAACATTCTGTGAGAGTGCAGTTCCTGCTCCTGATGTCCTTCTGCTGGAGGAGCAGCGTCTCAGTGGTTGACAGGAGACGGGACGACGTCTTCTAGGACGTCACCTGGTGAAGGTGGAGGGAAAAGGATGATGACGGCGCAGCTGTCATGGCGTAGAGACAGTGTCTCCAAACAGTGGACTAAAGAGCTCCATCAGTGACAGCCTCCTCAGTCTGGTCACCTGTACCTGGCAGGTAGTTCACTACAATTTCTTCAAAAAGGCACTTATTGTGAAATATTTACCAGAACCTGCCACAGCGCTGGTCACACATTTGGAGTTTACTGCAAGGCCACGTCCCTGCAGGAAAGAGCAGAGCTCTCCCTGAGCTCGCTGCGTCCCTTTCTGTCTCTGCTCTGTCTTTGGAGGACGTCAGATTGACATCATGTCGATTCTTTTTAGTTTAAAATACTTTCAAATATGGGACTTCGCTCAGGGTAGAAACACTAGAGGGGGCCAGTGGTGGCTTGGTGGTTCCACCAGCTGTCAAGTTGCCACACTGCCCCCTGCTGGCTGTGGTGATGGGTTAAAAAAGGCAGATCACCTCCCACTGGAACCTTAATCACACCAGGTGTGTCTCCTCACTGACACACCTGCGTCCACTTGTACAGGTCTGTATATAAAGACTCACCAATCACTGCTTCAGTTTCAACCTCAGAGCAACTGAACCTGAGAGGTAGGTTGATGTCAATTTTTAAAGAATGTTTGTGCAGCTGAGCCAGAAGCACATGTTTAATAATCTTATTTTTTTTATTAATTTACATTTAAACCAGAGCTTATATTTGGGTTTCTAACTATTTTCATAAAATTAATATATGTTGATTTCATTGCAACTTAATTTATTAAATTACCTTGAAGTCAACACACACACACACAAATAAATTCATTTTAAGTATATTTCACAATAAACCCTGAACCAGACCTTGTACTTAACCAGAGCTTATATTTGGGTTTCTAACTCTTTTTGATGCACATAAAATGGTTGATTTCATTGCAACTTAATTTATTAAATTACCTTGAAGTCAACACACACACACACAAATAAATTCATTTTAAGTATATTTCACAATAAACCCTGATCCAGACCTTGTACTTATAACTATTTGAGTGTACTGTAGTAGTTTGATACTGTAGTAGTTTGATACTGTAGCAGTTTGATGCTGTTGTCAGTTAATCACAACCGTACAGTGACTTCCAAACACAGTGGATTTCAGTGCTACATAATACATAGTCCCTAAAGTCGTATATATATTTTTTTTGCACAAAAATAATTTGTATGCAAAAAATACAGTAGATTTCTGTCATTATGATCTGATCCTGAACCCTGTCGTCACAGAACACACCGCGGAGGTTTGCTAGAAGACAGCTCCTCCCCAAAGGACACATTTCTCCAAGCAAATAGATCTGTTTTGTAATATTATTGTGTCCCCAACCACAGACCTGCCGCCTGCATTATTAATACAGAGTGACATTTTCAGAACGCAGGGACCTAACAAGTTACCTGGGGATTTCTGCAACCTCCTTTATTAAATCTGTTCCCTCACCTGGGGCCTCATGTATCAGCCCTTGTGTACGCTCAAAAAAACAAAATGTATCAAAATGTTCTTGGCGTGAAACATTGTTGACCTCAACACAAATCCTCCAGCTGCGGTGAGACTTCAGAAACTGACCCCAGATCTGTGTGTACATCTGTCAGACAAAATCACAAAGTAGAAAACTCAACTCAAACAATGGATTAATATTAATGAAATGCTGATTTAATTTTAACACACAGCTACAGACACAGACTGATATTTATTA